AATTCAAACATTCCAATATTACTCAGGGTGTGGGTGTTGGGTGGGGAGGGTGATAGGGGTTATAATCTGTCTGAGGGTGCGGGGCAGAGGGTTGAGCAGGTATGGTGTACGTAGGGGTAAGTTACATGGTATTTGAGAGAAATTGTAGGTAAAAATATTTAGCAGAGCTCTCTGACACATTTACATGAAAAGTTGGGTTAGTGCTAAATAGAATAAAAGAAGGTTTTGTGACAGAAACCCTAATGTCCAATGGATAGGGATGCTGCATTTCGCTGTGTTCTTCGTGTATATGTATGTGTAGAGAAAAAGGCTTCTCTGGTCGCTGTGCCTTTACTGATTGTAATGGCTGATGTCGGCGCGTGTTCGACTAAAGAGACCGGGCGTGAAGAGGGCCGATGGCCTTGGGAGCGCTCGTACCCAAAAACCGAATGCTGGGTCACTCGAATAATTGAAAAGTTCAAGTATTCAAGTATAATAGTTGAATACTCGAAGAGATAGTTGAATACTTGAATTCAAGTTTCGAGTTTGACACTACTGGCTGTTAGAGAGAATGACGATCAAAAAGCGGCGTTAAAAAGGCATCGGTGCTTCAGAACCCCTAGTTTATTGAAAGTGTCACGTAACCTTGATTTTCTTCTTTCTCTACAGTGTGTCAGATCTTTTTATTCCAGAAAAACATTAGATTTTGTAAATAAAATCTTTTTACATATTCTATCGTAATTATATCAATGTCCCTTGGAAGGGACATTTCGGCTTTTAAGGGTTAATTGAAAAAACAGAATGGAATGTAGGCGTCTGTTTTTTTAATTTACACGCAGCTGATAAAAGGATAGAATTCTTAGGAAACACAGAACAAGTTTTCTATGCATTATATTTCTAAGTGTTAATTGTGACGAAAGAGCTATTAAAGTAGAATTTAATGCATCTAAGCATTTAATGAATGCCTGAAAGGGTATCCAAACCATTGTTTTAATCAGTAGATTTTTAACAGATAGTAGTTCCATTATGTCCACTTCTTCTGATGAATTCATATTTGATGTGCATTCATTGCAGGTCATCTAAAATAAAGATAAAGAAAAGATTTTATTCTCTTCAAAAATAACGAATCGCATTTTCTGAGCATTTAAAGAGAAAAGTAAAACACTAAAAACTTTGTTATTATCTTCCATTTCTTTCCAGCATGAATTGGAATATATCTTGTCTTGTAATAGTGTTTTTTCTAAATATATGTAATGGATATATATCACAATCACTTATTCGTTGGTCAAGTTATGGATATGAATATTTACCAATAAATCAATCAATTCAATTACTTTCAAGTATTACTGTAAAATCATCAAGAGAATGTTTAGATGCATGTCATAAAAATAATCTATGTCGTATTTTTAATTATGAAACAACAGGTCATCAACAATGTCAACTTTTTGAAGGTGATACAAAAAGATTAGGAAGTATTATTTTATCAGCAGTGTCGAGTTCAATCGTTGGAATAATTGAAATTACACCTTCTCTTTATATTCAATATGGTCAATCATGTTCATCAACTTGTATTGAATCACGTTATTTAGAATGTAATGTCAATTCAATTTGTGAATGTCCTGAACATACTTATTGGGATCCATCAGTGATGATGTGTTTATTACAATTACCATTATTAGGTGCATCTTGTGATCATAATCTCAATATGTGTCGAGAAGATCTCAATTATGTTTGTTTACAATTTAATCAATGTGGACGTAAGTATTTAGTGATTTTTTGAAGTAAATATAATGTTTTTTCTTCTCATTTAGCATTATCTTTATTATATGGTGTAACGATTGCTGATATTAATACTATTATTGATGGTAGTCCAACGGTTGGAATGGATTATCCTATGGGAGTGACAATCTACGAAACTGATGGTGAATCATTGATTATTACTGATTCTGGAACTGCACAAATCGTGCATGTTAACAATGCCGATAAGAGTAAGAGTAATATATCAGTACTAGTACCTAATAGTTGGGCTAGTGGAGAAACCTTGTTTTATCCTTATGAAATGTTTCTTGATATTGATGATTCATATAAATTATACCTTTGTGACTCTGGTAATAATCGTATTGTTATGTTTTCTTCAATGCAATATGTATCACCGCCACCTACGATCGTTATTAATGGTAGTGCAGGTGTTTATACGCAAGACTTGGACAAATTAGTGGGACCCTATGGAGTCAAACGAGATAACCGAGGTAATTTATATATTACTGATTTTTATAATCATCGTGTTATGTTTTGGTCACCGAATGCTACGTCTGGAGTGATGATTGTTGGTAACAATACAGCTGGAAATGATTCTACGCAACTCAACTCTCCCACTGGTTTGTTCGTTGATTCATATAATTCAATGTTATATGTTACTGATACATGGAATCATCGAATACAATTATATAATTTAACAGGTTCTCCTCCTTACAAAGGTATTACTATTGCCGGAACTGGTTCAGCTGGTTCTGATGAGAATCAATTGAATGGTCCTTGTGGAATATGGGTGTCAAATAAGACAGGAGCTTTATATGTTGTTGATTCGTCCAATAACCGTATTCAGAGATGGGATAAAGGTGCAAAAGCAGGTGTAACAATTGCAGGAAATCCCAATGGAAATGCTGGTTCGAATGCAACAATGTTGAATATTCCGAATGGTATTGCTATTAATACTGATGAAACTCGAATGTATATAACTGATTCTTTAAATAGTCGAATTCAACGATTTGACTTGATTTAAATAAACAAAACTGATTGAAATGATAATTGTTGTAATTGATTCATTTTTATCAATACTTAATCCTTTTTGATACAAGTTTAATCTATTATTGTAAAGAATAGTTTCAAAAAAAAGAAACTATAAAACAAAAAACAGTTTAATATCAATAAAGCATGAAATCTCAATGCAATTATTAAATATGAAGTTTTTATTTGAGAATACATATATATGTTCAGAAATACTAAACTGCTCTTTATTTTTTTTCTATGTAAAACGATTTTCAATTCGAACAAGCCAACAACTTGCATTGAGGATATATCGAGCAGTTCCTACTGAATCCCATTTGTAATACAATTCGGTAAATCCATAATCTAAACATATTCGACCTTTACTAGTCGCTGAACTTCTTGGTGGATCATATACAGCAATACAAGTGTACCATCACTTGCTGTGGCAATTGGAGTAAATACTTTACGACCTGCTTGTGTTCAATACTCTTGATGACAAATGGTACTATCCTCGAATAAATTCTTAATTCCTGTAAAGATTTCATGTTGATCAAAATGTCCTTATCTTTCATGACCATTCTCTGCATAAGTCATGATGTTCTCACCATAATAATCTCCTTGAATAGTAATATTGCACCACCATTAGAATGAAATGTTGTTAAAGATAGAAGAAAATGATGATTTTCAATAGAACTAGTGCTAATAAACCATGCAATTTGATAATGATTCGAAGTACTTGAAAACCTTTCATTTTCAATTCATCAAGAGGCGCTTGAATTGCTTTATCATTGAACTAATAATTACTATAAAACTGTGTAATTAGAATACTAAATCCAATGAATGCTCTATCTCTTCTCAGGTCATGATGTTCTAGTTTTGACATTTGGTAATTGTAGTTGATGTGATAATGGAACTCGAGTCACTGCAACCATGATCTAATCAGTATTATCTAGCACTAGATCGTAGAATATTTACGTCTATTGTAAGAAAAATTGACATGCCATTCATTGTTCAACATAATTCCGCAATGATTTATTTCTGTAGTGTAATACCATGTGATTGCACAATTTGTTTTATAGATTAAAATCTTCAAGTAACTTAGTTGAAACATATAGGTATATTTGCGAATAAAGAACATCTTTCATCATTTTCATTCGATTTCTTTGAATATTTCGTGAGTTTCTTCTCATATTTGAAATACTTTCAACAGTTTTATTCCGATTATATGACGTTTGAAGATAGGTTTTAAATGAATAAGACAAAAAAGAGTAAAGTCTATTTTGAATTTTTGTTATGATTAATGATAAAATCATTGATAAGTTGATTAACTTCTTTTCGATTGAATACTGAAAGAAAATGATAACCACCTTCGATGATTTCAAGATGAGAATTCTTAATATCTTGTTGCATTTTCTTTGCTAATGAAATTGTATAAATATTATCATTTGTACCATGAAGAATTAAAACAGGACAATGAATTTCGTTTAAACGTTCTTCAAGATCATCACGTTCCATTAAACAGATAAGACATTGACGAACTTTTTTACGTCCATTAGGACCAGCATAGACTTCATGATGAGTCTATACATATGGGCGTGCTAGGTCGTGTTGATACCCGAAGCTTTATATATTTATTTAACTTCAATCAGTTGTTAGAAAAATGTGAAATTTTTATCAGATATAGTATGTATATAGTGCTAACAATCCGTCATTGTTCGAGGTCTATATGACACTAGGAAAGAAAAATTTTGAAATATGTTTATGAAATCATTACCCAAGACGTACTGTACAGCTTGTCACTATACATCTCATTCTCGATATATACTTCATGCACGACAACATTTTGTTTACTCTATTGTGTTTTTACTGTGGTTACACTATTATCGTTCTGTCTGTAATTCTTATTATCACACATTTAGTCGTTCTTGATTTGCCCTCAACGCACTTTCACATAATCATAAACACTTATCTTCGCATTATGTTCTCTCCGCAAATTGAATGGAATTGCTCTGAATGTCAGTCTGTAGTAGCTGATCGCCGAAAATATTGTACTGATTGTTATTCAATGTTGACTTGGACATGCATCGGTTCTGGAAAATCAGGTTTATACACGAACTACTACCGTCATCATGACAGTTGTAATTATTGTACACCAGAGCTTGAAGAAGAAAGACAACAACAAATGGAAGAGAAGTGAGTTATAATTCAAGAACGATTTCGAGCTTTAGGTGATGGTGAGGGATATTGGTCTTATCAGTTTACACATATGCCTTTTATTGTTTTATTTTAGAACAACGTCCATGGTCAGAATGGAGACTTACTGATGAATCATGTATACAACATACAGCCCACGACACTGAACAAATACGACAATTATATTCTATGTGCGAAGAATCACTTATACGTTACCGCTCTCATAGAAAAGAACAACGTACAGACGGTACCGTCACATCATGTCTTTCTCCTATTAATTTACTTGTGGTTACGTTATGGTATTTGAAACACTATCATGTTGAACGTTGCATTTCAACAGAATTAAATTCGAGTCCATCGACAGTAAATGCCTTTCTAAGAGAGGTTATTGATATTTTACACTCCTGTGTATATCCGGAATTCATTTCATTACCTGTCAATTTTGCTAGTAAACGAACACCGCATGGACCTCAACGACATCATAAATTAATAGTTGATTCGACTTGCATTGCAATTCCTGAACCTTATGATTCAGATCAACGTAAAGCGTATTATCATTCAAAATATCCAACAAATTATGAAATAAAAATACAAATAGCTTGCGATTTTAATCATCGAATAGTACACGCATCCGAATGTTATCATGGAAGTGTACATGATATTACAGTTCTGAGCGATTCAGGTCTATTAGAACATGTAAATAGTTCTGTACAAATTATTGCTGATAAAGAATACATTGGTGAAGATTATGTAGTCACTCTAAGAAAAAAATCGCATGAACGTGAATTAACAGATGAAGATAAAAATTTCAATCGTGATATCAATAGTGCAAGAACAACTATAGAAAACATTAATCAACGTCTCAAAACTTATGCTATTCTTGGTCGTGTTTACCGAGGAGCAATTAATGATTTTGAAAAAATAACTAAGATCATACAAGTCATTTCTGCTCTTTGTAATATGAATTTAAAGAAGCATCCAATTCGCAAATAAAAAGTAGAATAAGTCGTATTTTTTTTTGATTATTTCATAATAGAATAACATCATTATTATATTATCTGCATTTAAGGTACTGGTTTGAAGAAAACTTGAGATGTCCTCTTTCCTAATGTCATATAGACCTCGAACAATGACAGATTGTTAGCACTATATACATAATATATCTGATAGAAATTTCACATTTCTCTAACAAGTGATTGACGTTAAATGAATATATAAAACTTGGGGTATCAACACGACCGAGCACGCCCAAAGTTCCTACACATCGTGATTAGGAAAGCTTTCTAAATATTTGCCTTAGATTCAAATAAAATTTCGCTAGAGAATTGTAAATAGGATAACGATAAAAACTCTGACGGATTTCAGTTAAGAGTTATTCTTTTAAAGATCACGCTTGTTTTATTCAGTTGCTGACTACATGGTAATAATACATCAACAGTAATGTGACAGGAGATGGGAGAGTCAGAACATTGCTCTATCATCTCCAATCGTTACCTGATCACTGTAACAGAAGATACATAGTATTTAGCACCATTTAGCTTATTTTTTTATGCATACTTTTTTAAGAATCTTTCATGACTGTCTAGGAACGCACGATGCTCCCTTATGCGACTATTCACCGGAGAAATAAATGAGCAAACTTCGGCTTGAAATAACCATAGTAGATAACTCTGATGACACATCGTATTCTGAATATTTCAGCTTAAAAGTCTGTTGTTTTCTGCAAATATTGAATTTTTGAGAGAGCACTCGTTGTCTACAGATGTATGTATAAGTGAATTTTTGTTAAAATTTCAATCTCTCAAGACAGAAATATTATCTTAGCTTAAAAGTTTCACGACAGAATAAATGTCATCAGAGCTATCTACTAAAGAAATTTCAATTCGACATTTGTTTATTTAATGACCTCGAGGTATGGATGTAACATAGTCAACAATCCAGTAATACGTGTATAACTCTCGAAAGAATAACTTGCACTTAAAATTCTTTGAGGATTTTCATCAGAATAGTACATACCATCTTTCGAAAAATTTTCATTAAAATCTAATGTGGACACATGAAAAGGCTTCCGAAAATCTAAAGCATCGACATAAAATATATTAGACACAAGATCGAAGGTTTTTCACAGATTCGTTTATGTATGCGTTCCAGCATCAGTTCTCAATACGATTTGATGAGCTACATCGATTACAATGAAAACCCACGAAGTACACCAGAAAAAACGCTAACAAAGTCACCTCTTGAGAATAGCTCGGACAAATTCGTTTCTCTATCACCTAACTTGCTTTCATCATTGATTTTAGGTAGATCTTGATGAGAGTCAAGAATTCCAATAATAATACGTACTTTTACCCATATTCACATTCTATTTATTGTTGAAGATTAAAATACTGCGAAAAGATTATTTTTATTCGAACAGAGGTAGGACAAGTACACGTACACAAAGTACACGTACAAGTACTTGTACGTGCATGGATATAACTGTATTTGTACTTGTACTTGTACTTCTAGTAGAGTAGGGGTGGACCATTTAATTTATTTCTACTTAATTAACGGGTTGCACTTAACCGTTAATTTCCACTGAATTAATTCATAAACGGTTAAATAATCATAATCTATGATCCTTTCTGACAACTAATTATCTATACGACCCAGCAATAATTACATGTGCCCTGGTAAGATACTCATCTTTCAGGTTAATGGTACCGTGGGAACCAGTCTTGGAAAAAGCCTTTATTCCAAGGTGCATTCCCGCGAATTCTGATTGGTCGATTTCTGCCAATCAGCGATGACCGTGATTTTTTTCCAAGAATTTATTTTCGCTGGAAATCGACTAAGGGGGCCTTATATAAGGATGTTTCTTTGACCTCCAGAGATCTGCATTGGTTGCTTATTTCTTTTCAAGGAGGCAGTGTTTTACTCCGGTAGTGCGATATTAACCATGGACGCTTGAGTTTTCGTTGATGAATCTATAGATCCGGAGTCAGAATGGATCTACAATTGCGTCTGAAGTAATAGAAGATCTTTGTTATACGTTAATCACCTAATTAAATGGAAATGAACGGAAATGATCCACTCCTAGTTTTCCCTTGAAAATAGACGAGAAACCACTGTCTGTGCTCGGATTGGTTAAAAAATGGACGAATGAGATTTCGGGACCCATTTTTGTCACTAATTTGAAGGGGAAACGCATGATTACCTATCCTAGAATGAAAGACCGTGCCCGATTAGCACAGGATTGGTACAGGTAACCAAGGGCTTCTCTTTGAGAATATCGAAGAAAATGGACAAATGAATCCTGTAATCCCATTGGTCCATTTTTGTATCACTTCGGAGGTTGAAATACAGGTATAAAGTATTCTACTAGAAGTACAAGTACAAGTACAAGTTCTCTGAGCTAAGTACAAGTATTTCTACGTTGTACTTGAAGAGTACAAAAAGTACAAATACATGTACTTGCGTCCTACCTCTGAGTCTGACTCACAAGTTTCGAGTGTACAAGTGGTTACAGCCAATATCTTCAGTCATATTTGACGTGTCCCAAAAGCTAATACAGCAAAGAAGCACGAATACATTAACGTGCAGTTTTGATCAGAGTTGCGACACAACTACGACTTACCCGTGGATCATAATTTAATACAAGATGCTGTTGAGTGACGAAACTAATCTTCAGTGCGCTATGATTGTTGTATTTCTAACTACGATGTACAACCTGAATGTATTAGTAGGACACAAATAGCACATCCAGAATTTTCTAAAACGTTAAGTCTACATGGGGTGGCAAATATCAAATTCATTTATATTTTAAAAGTTCCATGCCAAAAATATCCAAAATTTTCATTCTTAAAATTTGTAAATTTTAAAAATTTT